TATATATATATATATTAATATATATATATATATAATATATATATATATATATATATATACATATATATATATATATATATATATATCGAAGTGTGTATATATCTATATAACCGTTTACACTCAAAAACGTATGGAATAACATACCTGATAGTAGTATACTCGTTCCCTCAGTTTGCACTCAGGTAGACTCGATACAAATTCTCGAAGTGTGTCATCGTCAGCTATACTTGTGTCGGGCAACTTTGCCTGTGCCTCATTTAACGATAAAGCGAGAGCGAAAAACATACCTATCCCCATGCCCAAGCATGTTAAAGGCCACCTCCTTCGCAAGGTGTTCTTATCTACTTGATTCAGTGTATGAGGAGCGGTTCGCAATCGTGCGAACGTTAGTGTACGCACCTGCATTGTGTTGCATGCACGTACTGGTGTGACACACCAGCGTTTTGGTATCAGCTCTGAACCAAAATGGCGTGCACCGAGCAGCGATAATGCTGGACGAGCCCTCAACACCCCAAACATGCGCGCAGGAGCCGATTAAGAATAGTACGATATGCGGATGGTGAAGTGTTTATGTTGCCTAATGCCAGACGGCTTAGACCCCCGGTTCGGAGTTTGTAAATATCATTTTTCGAGGTTGTCACTCTAGTAGGGTTTGCCGGTATGTAGGGTTTATTTCATATTTAGGTTTCATAGCCTCCCTAAAACAAAACCAAAAAAAACCCTTCAAGATGCATTGACTCACATAAACCTATTTATATAGCCTCCTAAAAAAAGAACATTAGGAGTTTATATAGCCTATTAAAAAAACATTAGGAGGCTATATAAATAGGTTTATGTGAGTCAATGCATCTTGAAGGGTTTTTTTCGGTTTTGTTTTTTGTTTTAAACAAATACAAATCAAAACATTTTACGTTTACTCAAAACTATACTCGTTCCCGTTTAACGTATACGCAGAACCACCGTAACGTCATGATGAGGTTCGCCTCATACAAAATCACTACATTTCAATTCAAAATATGGGAACCAAAATTAAATGCAGACACCAGCAAGATGCTGCAAGAAGTGTACTGTATGTGTTATCAGTTGGCTATGACTGTATATACAGTCATTTTTAGAAGGCTATGCCTGTACGCTGACTGGCCTACGTCAACGTGAAATGGGCATACCGATAGTCAGCGCACACGAGCAAGTGTGGTATACTGGTTCAGACCGGACGAGGAAGCCATCAGTCACAGTACATACTCTCCTTGTACGGCATGTGTGGTATACTGGTTCAGACCGGACGAGGAAGCCATCAGTCACAGTACATACTCTCCTTGTACGGCATGTGTGGCAAAACGGACGCGTACAAGGGTGTGTTCAAAAAACCCCTAACCAAGTGCAAACAACAACGTACTTAGACACGAGGGAGAATAGAGGATGTAGGTGCTAAAGGGGAAACATTTCACGGCCTGTAGAGCAAGCA